GGAAAGAGAGAAAGAGAGAGAGCCACGTCGTCACGCAGCGGAACAATATAACTCTATCGATCCTCTCTGACCCGCAGACCGTCAGTGACGTCAACAGCGGGTCTGCAAATGTCGCGGGATTGCGAACAACGTTGTCCGGAACTGGACGCCTGCATAAACGCCTCGCTTTGGTGCGACGGCGTGTCCCATTGTCCCTCCGGTTACGACGAGGCCCTGACGCACTGCTCCGTACTGCTGCGGCTGCCACCTCTGCAGCTAGCCCTGGGTGCGCTCGTCATCATCACCGTTCTCGGTGTCGCTTGCTTCATCATCTGGCGGATCTGTCGGCGGCGAGGCCGCCGTTCGATATCCCAGCACCGTTTGAAGAGCATCTCGTCCGAGACGGCGATAATCGACGGCAAGGAAGTGATATGCTGACACAGCGACAGTTCTGTGCGTTACGTCGAGGTTGATCGGGTTACTACCGTGTGACGATCGCCGTCGTCCACGTCGTCGTCGATCCGGATTCCGACGGTCCTCCATAGACCAGCGGCCAGACTCTGCTCGGTCCTACTCTCCTGAAGAAGACGAGCCAGCTGTCGTCGTCGTCGTCGCCGGCGGAGGATCCGCGGAATTGCCTCCGCGTAACGCGCAGAACTGTCGCGTGCAAGAGATGCAGCACGTTAGATGGAAGAATCAGAGTTCGCACCTATGATCGCAAAACGCGTTCGATGCTCGATGTCTCGGGCGAGTGGGAGAGCGCCTTCTTTTTTTTTTTTTTTTTTTATCGAACAAACGGATTTCGTTCCCGATCGGATGTTCTAGTCGAGAGAGGTGGATCTCGTTTTAGATTCAAGAAACAATGACAGCCGAGAGGAGCAGAGAGTTGAAAGAGTCGGATGATCTGATTAATAGGAAGTGTCAAGAATTATAGTATAGAGCAGTGATTGAAATGTTCTTAGGATTATAAGTCCAATGATGTCTACATCGGAACCAGGGGTGCGAAAGAAAACGTGTAACGGCGGATTAATCCAGCGTGTTTGTTGTAACTTTTCATTGATCAACGTTGCAGCAGCCGTCTGGCTCTATTTAATAATTTCTAACAATATACTGCCAATTCACAATTTTCTCATTTTATAAGAGACTGAATCATTTTATATATATATATAACTTTTTAAATAAAGAGAGAGATTTAAATATATCTGACAAACTACATTTACCTGATGGCCAATTTTTGTAGTAAACGCGTAAAATTTAGATGCGCATCGCAGCAAACGCGTTATCAAGTTCTCGGCCGAAAGCTACAGCAGACATCGAAACAATCACTGCCGCGATAGCCGGCAAATTCCGGAAGTTGTCGAATTTTGATACCTTTTGTTACCTTCGCGCGTTCGACGCCTTATTACTTTTCGAAGAACCGTTACACGTCCCATCCACGCGAAAGTTTTCACAATTACCTATCAAACTGCCCAAAAGTCATCCCGAAATGAGGATTAAAAAAAAAAAAGAGAGTGAACAGTAAGTCGCAGAATTAAAGTGCGAATTACTTCAACGAGGACAATAAATAATAAAATCCTAGTAGTATGTCACTATTACGGTAGAATGGCTTAGTGACGATCGAACGACGCTGCGCCTTGATCAGATGTTCGACGGTTAGCACAGCAGTAAGTAAATATATATAGTAAGTGATTATATATATTTTGGCGGTGCGTAATGCCCGAGAATTAATGCTATAATAAGTAAACGACGGGCTTAGTAGATCGATAATGCGCTGTTAGCGGATTAGCAAGTTATTATGGACCAGTTTCATCAATATCAGTTGACCTTAACCGCACTTTAACGGTTTGATTACCGCAAAGTTCAATGTAGCAACGTAGTTAAATTAAAACTGTAATTATAACAGACATTAATGAAACCGGTCTCTGCATCATTTTGTCTCATTTTCTAATATTAACCGGCAAAAAACTGATTTAAAGCCATATTTTATCCAATTAACAGATATACAAAATATATATATTTGATATCACACACGCGATATCGAGCATTATTGTGTAAAATAATGTTCGAGAGATCGTGGAGCGGAGCGAATTTTCGTGGCTATCGATGACGATTAATTCACCAAGGCGCCACGTCGATCCGATTGACACATCTTGATTAAGAAACACCTCGTTCACAGAAATCCGAGGCATCGAGCGTCGCGCGCAACACGTGCTAGTACTAACTACGTTAGTTCTTCTTGGTAATAGAATAGACAAGTGATTCTACACACAAAGCGGAGCGAGAGCCTTCTGTCTCGTCTCGTGCTCCTTTTTTCTTTTTAAACGCGCGTGACATGACTCACACGAGATTGTCTGTAAAAAATAATAGATAATTCGGAAATGGTCGGACGCGCTCGCAATGTCGCGCGCGTCAAGTCGTCGCATCGTTATCGTTACTAGATAAATTAAGACGTCGATCGAAGAAGATACTAGATACTTAATGCAACGTGACGTACCATATTGCGGCCGTGGTAACGCAAGAAACTTCGAAGTCTCGTTACCACCTATCGTTTACTGCCAAAAGTAGTCGATTACACGTCGCCGACAGCGAATAAAAAATTTCGAATAGTTACACGCGTTCATAGAGTTTTATTACAAGCCGTTTCGTTGCGTCAATTTATCATTTCGTGAGCGCGCGATACGGTAAAATAGCGAAGATCTCCTTTACGTATCATGGCCGCAGACCTCTTTCGGACGTCTGCATTGCGCTTAAGCCGCGCCTCGATGTCAGCAAATGCAATTGCAATCTGAGATGTAAACAATCGAGATAAGATTTGCGCGATTATAAGACGGAAAATCTCACTGACTCGATTGGCCGAGAAATATAGATGAATGGAAACGTAGTTGCACGAGGCGAGCTAAGCATCGAGGTGTAGCCTCAGCGAGAAAAAAATTCAGATAGAGATACTGACCAAGTTTAAAGCGATAGCCGACTTTAGGCGACTTAATTATTCACTTTAGCGATCTCGCTGCTGAAGGAGCGAATAATATGTAGATTAATCAGTAGCCTGAAATTATGTGATAATATATAATGCTGTTTTCCTCGGAGCTGTGCTCCGACATTATTGTTAATGCCGGGCGAACGCGAGAACATTCTCGCGGATCAATATTCGAGAAGGGCCACATTTCCTTCCTCTCGTTATACTTTCAACGTAACATGGCAACATGTTATGTTAAAATTGAGAATGAAGGAAAGTTTAGCGAGACGGAATGAAATAGAGTGGCCGAATGTGGCAGTTCATCTTGATTACGCATACGAAAGCACACCGACGTCACCGTCGCGGCTTGTATACCTTGTTCATACTTGTACATAATCGATTATTTATCTATTTGTATCGAATAACGATGTTGCATGTACACTTCCGCTCGCATGTTTCAAAACGGGCACATATTCTCATTTCAATTATTTTAAATTTGTGAAGATTAAATTTGCACGCACACACAAATACACATTTCCAATTTTCCTTACTCAATTTTATGGCTACCGTTATCATCCGACCGTTCAATTTTAATCAGCAATTCAGAGGCGACGTGATGAACGAGCTTCACCCGTATATATTTTCGCCTTCGCATTAATTAGTGAAGATAAAATTACAAAGTTTTCAATATACGATTACGAGTGTTGCTAAGGAGATCGTAAATATAGCAGTTATAAGAAAAAGAGCAACCGTTTAATGATCCCAAAGTGCGATCGATAACGAGGTCGCAGTTTTATCGAATCCACCATTTGTATTTTATAACTAGCTCGTTATGTCACAATGTCAAGCGATAAAATTTTGACATTTATAACTACAACTCGTAGGACTTTTAGTACAACGCGTGACCTGTATTCTGTATGTTACCTGTAGCCTGTCTCGATAAAAATTGCACAAGTGTCGCACAAACTCTGAAGAGATCACTACTTCTTGCTAATATATGAGACACAGTTGATACGAAACTAGTCTCTTCTAATTGACAAAAATAAATTCTCAAAAAGAAAAAATTCTGGTCAACAAGAGATCTTTAAATAATACAACAATACAAGAATTACATAAATAGCTTTTTTCGTACAATGTATGTATATCGATTACTGCGAGCGGAAGTTCGCATCTTGTCGTTTTACTACTCAATAAGCGTAGACCTTCAGAAAAATCACGATAGAATCGCGTATATTCTCTCGAAAAACAAGATTCACTCAGAACGGAATAAAAAAGACGACAGAAGCTTAAAAAAAAGTCAACGAAAGAAGAAAAGTAGTGTGCTGATATCGCACGCTGTCAGCTAACCGGAAATACCGCCAAATACTCTCTCGTTATTTTCGTGCGTATACGAATAATAATTGACGCGTATATAACCGAAGAATGCGAGAAAAAAAGATTCTAGACGTGATGTATGATATTATCAAGTTCTTTACAAAAAACATTGAATGGAAAAAATTATACTACATTATGATTGAATCTATGAAACAAATTTCAATTTCATTCTTATTCTATTATCTTTGAAAACACGTATGATATATACGAGTTCCGTTTTGGTCGACATTCTGCGGGAAGATAAGATTTACAGTGTTACGTTGTAAGTGATAGCGTTACGGATTAGTCAGACTATGGGAAGCAACGCATGCAACGTATGTCACGCAAATTGATTTGATTAATTACGATCTTGTGTTAAATCAGAAAGAAGCAATACAAGTTTTCTATCGAAAAGGAGGTCACGATTTTATGATTTTTTATCTCTATACCCGCAAATTTTTTATACCTTAATCCTTTTTCTCCCTTTTGTGCAATATTATGGAATGACTCACAAAGTAACCAAATACTCACAAAATGCTATTTATTAAAACATAAGATGTCATATCGTTGCAAAAAAGGCCTTTTTTAAGTAAACAAAAAAATGACATAAAATGCAACTGGATTTAAGGAAAAAATGAATATTTTCTAACGATTGAAAAAGATATTTGCTCGTATCACAATGAATATCAGAATAAATTGTGCTAATTATGTTTAAAAGTTTTCGTTTTTATCTGGGACCAAATATATAGTTTCATTTAATACTCGGCCTGTCAATAACGTAATGGTTTTACATAATATACATCTTAAACAAGAATATCGAAATTCTAATTCACATGACTGATTTGTGAAGGAGAATTAAAGACTGATTATTTACAACATTTATATATAGGTTGCTTTTATTAAAACAATTTGTACTGCCACGCATAAATTTTTTTTACGGGAGTCAATAACTTTGTCACTCAATTATTTGTAACTGTTGATGGATTTAAATAAAATACAAAATAAAATGTTGTATATTCGTGAAAAAAAAATCGTAAAATATACCAAGATTGCATAATTTAAGTGACCACAATCACTAGTGGACTGGAAGAATAAATTTTTCAATCTATTTTATACACAATTTCTGTAATAATAACTTCCATAATTTAAAGTTACAGTTTAAGCCGAACGCAACGATATCAGCTTTAAAGCCATGACCCAGATACGGAGCCATCATTCCCTGATGTGTTTCAACGCCGGAGAGAAATCTTTCTAAAAATAAGTCATTGAAGGTCTTCTTCTAATTATGTTAATCGTTTCTAACACGAGCAAATTAATTCACGGAATAGCACATAATTAATTGCAACCTGAATAATTGCACGCACAAGCACAATTATATCATTTTCCATTTACAACGGAAACAATTTTAATTCTCCGAAAGAGATATAAGTAATGAAAAACTAATTGTTCTACAAAACGCGAGTGGTGACCTCCTTTTAAAATTGATTGTTGTATTTTAAACGACGGTATATAAAAATGAAAATTTATTTTGACAAAATTTACGTCGATCGTGTCATCCTTTCGACGCTAACAGAGGCGTTGCATGATAATCTTATCTCATAATCATTTATGCATCACGAAGACATGAAATTTCCATCACACCAAATTATCACATGCGTAACCGCACACATCCGGAGAGCTGCAAGAAACGATTACGAGAAATATGTCATCGCGTGTATAGTACTGCCTTTGAAAGCCACCGTGTTCGCATATCCGACGACAGTAAAAGTTTACTGGCCATGGGACGCATCGCCTGATAGTGCATCGTATTTCGCTGCTGTCGGGGGTGAATCGCGACATCGACGTCCGCCATTGCCATTTATTACAGGGCAGAGCGATAAAATTTTATTATCGCAGTGTGCACGTAATCGTGCTACTATTCCCTCGCGTCTATGAATATCTCGCATTTGAGAATTAAAGAGTGCACGATTAACGTCACAAAATCGGCGAACTAAGACGCCCCAATCTCTCATTGAAACAACGCTTTATTCATTGATTTGTTGCACAAATTTGACGATAAAGCAATGTCTCGTCGGAAATTATTATAATATGCTGCCGATAACTCGATGTAAAATCACATGTGAAGCTGCTACTAATTCTCGAGTAGATAGCTTCATAATTTATCTATGCTAGACCTTATTAACGGCGAATAAAGACAGATAAAAGTATGTATGTGTTTAAACAATCGTTTAAAATTTAAAAGCCGATCGGAGGATGCGTAATTGCTTATCGAAACGTTGCAGGAGAGAATCGACATTTAATCTTCGCCATCTAAGACAGGATGAAACTTCGGTCTAAGTCTAAGGATTAAATAAAATTTTAATGTAGGACAAAGTTACGCTTCTCTTATGAGATGCGAAGTCTGAAGAACCTGACCTTTTACTCGCCACGCCAAAATTAAGAATATTGCGAAACTTTGTAATTGATATCGCTATAAAATAAATTAAGTTCATTTTAAAAACGATATAAGTTTAGTCTTGAAGTACTACAATTTTCAACGTGATGTATAAATTGCTACAATATCTCGATCTAATATATTTTATAAACTAGACTTATATCGCTCACAAAATAAACCAGTTAGCCACATTAAATTGTTGCGTATGAAAAATGTCAGATTCCAAAAGTTTTATATCAGTTTTATGGAAAGTTCTTATAAAGTATAAATCTTTTGCTAATCAAGTATTATCACGCGTAAAATTTTACAAAAGTATGTTTTAGTTTTTGCAAAATAAATATTAATAAATGTATAGAAATATAGAAAAAAAAAAATTGAAAAAAGAGTTTATATATTATTCTATGATTTTAAAGAAAATTACTTCTCACGTTTCTTCAAATGAAGAATCGGTTATATATAAGTATATTTGTTTTGTTTACCTTTAAAAAAATTATATTTGAGAATCATTGATGTAAAATTGGAATTATAATTCATACGCAATGATCTATAATAATTATTCAAAGTTAGATCTTTGATCTAAAATAAATTTCCGTTACGTGAACGCTAATGTTTCGCGTGATTCACGTTTCTATGTGTATATGCGTTTCAAAAGCAAATGCACACGAGTTGCAAATGTACTGCCTTGCACACACTTTCATGTTATTTTCAAGAATGATAACTATTCTGTGAATACGACCCTCAAAATACGGTTCTAGCTAATTGCCAATTTAGAGAGGGAA